CCATCCGAAGTGAAATATTGAAGGGCATCCGGGTAGGGGATGAATTTGCCCGGGCTTCCTGTCAGGAAGTGTGGCAAATGAGGCGCCGCTCGTGATCGGGAATGGGCCACTTGCAATGCTGATCAAGTAATTTCAGGAGTTTGACCAAATGCCTGCAGTGCAACTCGTGTTTTGATGCGTAAATACAGTGTCAGGTCTATGATTTGCTCCATGTGATGCACTCAGCACGGGGCACGTATCTTCAAGCTTTGGTTAGCAGAACGAGGAAGGAGTTTTCTCAACAATCACAAGCAAGAACTGCTAAGAACAGCTTGGCATGGGTGTTACCATGCAGATTTGCAAGATCTCTTGTTACACGGCAAGCTGACCAGAGGATCTGATGCATGCTGCAGCAATTCAAGGGTCCTGTTCAAGCAAGCTGCAAGTTTTCTGGATTTGGTTGCCTATTTGGTATGGCGACCTCACAAATTCTGGGGTAAAGCGAGTTGACCAAGGGCGTAGGTCCTTCACTCTGGGATCCGACTCTTATTGCAGGTGTTTGGGATAGTTCGCAGATCTGGCAAATGAGGATCTAAATCACATGGAGCTTCTGGCAAAATAACATGGATGTGTCTTAAAATGAGGGACACCCAAATTGTATTTCCATTTTCCCTTTGGTTTCCGTTTAAAGCAACCCCCAAAAAGGGTAGCCTAAAGGAATACAAACCCACATGAAATCAAAGGAAAAGGCGAGAGGCGAATCCGGAGTCCGGAGAGTAAGGCAAGTGAAAGGAGCTAGGCTCACGTCGTGTGGCTTAAGCACAACTTTTAATCAACATCCCATCGTTTGTACCTTCTGATTCTAGATCGAAGTCTAGCTTATGAGTTGATAGGAAAGAGATACAGAGATGTCATCTGAATTCTGAAGTAGTCAATATGCTCCCGGCCAGAAAGCAAAAAGGGGCTACACCAAGAATCCCCCACTTACCTTGCGATATGGAATCCGACAAGGTTGTGGCCCCTGGCCTCCTTGCATGTTTTTCATTTTCAAAAACTCAGTCCTAGCTTGTCCTTTTCAAACAAGCAGCTAGCAGCTTGCCATTTCCATCCTTAAGGTCGTCCAACGTATTTGTTTGTTTGAACTGTGAACAGCGCGGTTGCTGGTTGAAAGGGAGTTTTGCCTAGCAGGGTGTTTGAAAGGGAACAAATTCCCTTGGCCCTCACTCTTTTGCCCCCTTTTGGCTTACCGAAAACCCTTTGCTGCCACGGACCCGTAGTAACAGCAACGAAGCCTTAGACATGTGCTTGCAAGGTGTGCCTAGCCAAAGAGAAACACGAAACCCTTCGACTCCCTTCCAGCCCCTTTGGGAACACAAATTAAACACCTCCTTCCACTCCCTCTCCCACTCCACCCCTCGGTCTTCCTTTTGGTGCCCCTTTACCACCACCAAGAAAGGGGTCCCCTCCCACCAATCAACACCCCCGAAGGTCAGGTTCCATATTCATTGGTGGGAGAGTACTCTCAACAGGAAAAACACATACTCATGTTAGAAGATCCCCAAAACTGGATTTCGGTCTTCCTGGTGGTTTCACCACCAAAAAAGGGGAACCCTAGAAAAAATATATAATTGGGATAGTAAGTCCCATAAACCTTTTTAACCATGGACCAGGGACCTGTATGGAGAACACATGCCAAGGTTAGGACCACGAGTCCATCGGGTTTTGTCGCAACGCCCACGCCCAGGATGAGCAGCTGCAGCGTGCTGTGTCGGAGGTTGAGGCCAACTTCGCCTCGGAGCTCTCCACGTTGGGCGCATCACGTGCCCTCGACGCGAAACAAAAAGCGGGTCTAAACTTCCATTTGGTTATGAATAGGTTGATTTCCCCGTGCTGGTTTTTAAGGGAATCTACCACTACTGGAAATATATATATATATATATATGTACCAGTCCCTGGGCCACGTACCCCCCCCCCCCCCCCCAATGGTATGGTCCCCCCACTCCCCCGCATCATCCGCATCTTGGGGATGATGCTGGCATTGCTGGGGATGCTGTCCAGTACCGTGCGAGCCCTGCAGCTTCGGTCCCAGACCCCCTTTCACCCCGTGAGCCAACACCCCCGCACCTCTCGCAACATCCTACCCTAAACCAAACCACCCTGCAACCCCTCCTTAACCCCAACCCTAAGCCTAAATCAACCCAAAACCCAAACCCACCCGAAACCCACCGCAAACCAACCCTGAACCAACCCTGAACCAACCCTAAACCAACCCACCAAGCCTAAACCAACTCCGAACCACACCCCAACCACCCAACCACCCAACCACCCAACCACCCAACCACCCCACCACCCCACCACCCCACCACCCACCCCACCCCCCACAGGGGCGGGGGGGGTTGGCCCACCACCCCACCCACCACCCCACGGGGGGGGAGGGGGGGGGGGTCCACGGCCTGGAACATATATATATATATATATATTTTTTCCAGGGGACTTAAGCAAATGGAAGTAAATGGGTATGGGGGAGGGTCCTCCTTGTCCCTTTTTTGGAACCTCCGCAAGTGGCGGTTTCAATGGAGAGCACCGGCCAATTGCAACTTTGGAAGGGGAAATCCAGTGACCCCTGCAAATGGGGGGGGTCTCAAAAGCTGTGTTGAGAAGCACCCAAATGGCTATTGTAGTTTTGATAGCGCCGAAGAGTTTATTCAGCGCCGAATGATGTAACGAGTATTGTAGGTCTCAATTGCCATTTGATTACCACCTATCATTTGTGGTACACGACTAACAATGTTCTATTTAGTTGTGGGGTACTATGAAGCCGGATTGCTCCCCTGATATATCGGAACCGATCGGAAGGCTTGGATGACCCATTGCAAGCCAGGTACGTCGTTTTTGGCTCCAAGAGCAAATTGGACCATTTAAGTTTACCTTGTATGGGAACCGGCCGTGAGAACTTAAATGGAACCATGGTCCATAGGTTTTGGATCGGCCTTGTTGGCATGCAGACCATGCTTCATTGGATTTGGCATTCCTTTTGACTTTGTTGCCTGCGGTCGTGCTTCTTTTCAAACCTTTTGCAGAGGGTCTACGTCTTGCCCCGGATCCTTCCAGGTTCCTTTTTCCCTGCTGGGTGGGAAACCATGAGCGCTCCCCATTCGCTATTCCCAGTGCCCTTTTCCTTTTTGGCAACAAACAACACGAGTGCCTGTGGCTTCTCCCGTGGAGGCTGCTCTGTTGCCCTGCATGGCTGAGGTGCAGAAGGTCGATTACATGACAGGCTGCAGGTCTTGCTGAAGGCTCGATGTGGTCAGCGATCGGGGGTAAAACACGCGAACCCTTTACTCAGGTCCTGTACTGCTTTGGCGGTTTCCTTACTTCCCAGTTCTGGAAAGTTGGTTTCCATCTACTACACCTATAGATTTATATTATTATAACATTGTGATAGAAATCAGTATTTACCATTGGCTTGCCCAACAATGCTTCCCTAATTGCCATTGTTTTCCCAGAGGACGTGTTTCCCAGTTGGACAGTGGCGCCTTGTTTTTGTTTGGAAGGCGCTCAACTCAAGTTGGTCGACTCCAAAACTGCCATCGGCACTGGGCAGGTGGCTGCGCTCACTGGATTCTGGTGTGCAGAATGCACATATCGCTTGTAAGCCAGCAGCTAAAGAATGCCGAGCCAATGCGTTAAGGAACTGTGATGGTGCCCAATCAAAACCAGAGTCATCCCAATTGTCCCGTGTCCGAAAAACAGACAGGTATAGCAACAGCATGTAAAAGCAGGGGCTCCAGTTGTGTTGGGGAATAGTTCTTAGGTACTGCCCGCAAAATAAGTTGTGTTTTTTCTATGCATGGCGAATCATGCGAAGTCCTACTTCCTAGAAGCCGTTTGAGCCTTCTCTTCAGCACAACACAGCATATGCGTTCGCGAATTCCCGCTGTGCACGGGAGGTTTCACCCTTTTCCTTGTATGAAGTGGTGTGTTTTTTTTGGTTTCATGGTGTCATGGTTTCATGGTTTCATGGTTTTATGGTTTTATGGTTTTATGGTGTCATGCGTGCCTCGCATTTGGTCAAACTCAATATGTTTCTAAACTATAGCTGGGGGGACATGTACCTCACTAAGTTCCCGCACGAACACCAGGAGACTCTCTACATATTCCATGTCCTTTGGGGGAAAAGGGAAACTAGTGATTTTGACCATGGCGCATACATATATATATATATATGCGTTCCTTCCTGCTGTCACCTGTCACCCTCAAGAGGCTCGACACATCCGTTGCCAGGCAGTCCTGCACAGAGAGCAACTGGCAGAGGCCCGGGAGTGAATGCTTCCAATCATCCAATCATCGGGTCTTTGTATGCTGTCCTGCTTGTTGTGTCATGTATTCGTCCACTCTACTTTCGAGGTCTTGCTCTTCCCACATGTTTCTTCTCGAGGACGTGCCCACAGCCCGTCAAGTGTGGCGCAGAGGGCAGGTGTTTTTGTTGGCTCGCCGGCCTCCACCACGTGAAGCAGTCAGGATTTCCAGGCTTGAAGGTCCACGAAGCTTGCTACCACCCTAGCGACTAGCCAAGGTCCATGCCCTTTTCCCTTGAAGGTGTCCCTGCATCAAACACATCCAGAACGGGTGCCCTCTTTCCCATGGCCCAATTCAGGGAAAGGTCGGGCTTCACTTAAATGGCGGGGACATATGTGACGCCTCGTTGCTTTCCATAAAAGTGTCGAGAAACGTCTAAGCCATATATGGTAGCGAAGTTGGTGCTCGACCCAAACAGCGGATGAGGGTGTGAGCATGTATATGCATACATAGATACATGACATATTGCTGTGCGCATACATCGTAGAGCACACGGATGCGCTTGTACACTGTATGTTTGCAAATCGAGACGCTTGGGCTAATTTCGTACTGAACTCCGTGCATATACTATATATAGAAATATATGTATATATGCACATACATATACAGTTACATTTACGTATATAGACATATTTAGACTTGGCTGGTGTTGACCTGCTTCCCTTTCATCCAAGGTGTTGACAGCCAAGGATGCACAGTACATGCAAGCCTTTCACACGCCTGTCATGGCGTGAGCCGCTTTGTTTTGTGGGCAAATATGCTTGATTCCCTAAATGGTGCAGTGAACAAAACCACAAACCATAGCAAGCTTATTTCTAAGTGTATGGACTTCAATCGTTCGGGGAAGGCCATTCTAGCGGCAATGTTTCCAGGAACCAAGACCCCGCTGATTTAGGCTGGTGATTCGTCAAAATCGTGCAACCATATGCTGCCCAGGCGCGCTTAAAGGAGCAGCGTCAGGATCTTGGAAGCTGATTCAAACCAAGGGGCTGCGCACCGGGCTCGTAGTGAATATGCGTAGGGTCTTAGACAATGGGCTATGAATGTTGGGGGCCCACCTCAAACGTGCTTGGACATGAATCCCCACCGAATTCTGACGTCCACCATTTGGTCCACAAATTGGAGAAGTCACACCCATTGTACATGTTAAGGTCGACTACATATGGTTGTGTCTCTTTTTAGTGGACGCCTAAATTTGCTTGTTTTGCTGTTTGTTTCCCTCAGTCTTTTGCCTCCAACAAAAAAGCGAGCCCACAGACATCGATGAAACTGGCGCCGATGTCTGGGGTGACATTCAGGGGACCAAAGCTCAGTCCCTGAGTTCATGGACCCTAACACTTTTTTGGAAGACCATTCTAGTGGCAAACAAGGAAGCGTAAGCCGTTTTGGGCCAGTCCAGTCAGGATGTGCGAAAGGAGAACCGCCCCCTTTGTGAGGTATCCCATTTCAAGCCACATGTTGGAGATGACGTATGTCCTTGAAATGATCAGGTGACACTGTGTCCGTGTTTGTTTTGAGGGTACCGGTTTGGGAGTTGTTTCAAGCGATTCCCAAAAGGATAACCATAGGTTTAATCATTTGCAGAGGAGGCACCCCCTTGGAATATCTGTTCATTTCCAGGAGAGGAGCCTCACTGTGAGTCGACCCAATGCTCCCTAAAGGTTGCCGCATTTAGTTTGATTCGACTCCTGAAAGAAGTCGTTGGCGAACTAAGGGATCAACAAACCACTAAGTTCTGGTTGGTGAATTATCATGATTCATCCAACATACTAGACAGGAAGGTTATTGATGATTGAGTGTTTCTGCAGTACCTTAAGCTGGCCCAACACGTTCATGCGTGGTTTCGTGTCTCATGGGTACAACCCCCTGGACTGTTCTTCACTTTTTGCGGTCGGCCAGGGCATGTTCAAAAAGGGACGGGCACAGAGCGCATGTGTCCTTTTAGATCAGTTTGGTTGGTGTATGACACAGCTTCTTCGTTCTAAACAGTTGCCCATGCCATAGAAACATGTAGCCCAAGGACACCCGCGGCCTTCAAGTCTGAAAGCATCGCCGCATGTTTCAGTACCCAAGGAATCCTACTGACAGTATAAACTTGGCTCAGACCGGCCAAGTGAGTAGCAACCCCTCGAAAAGGGGCAGGCCTTGTAAGAGGGATCTCACTGGCTTTTTTTTTTGCGTGACCTTACTATTGGAGGAAGTGGTTGCGTGGGAATCTGTTGCTTCATCTTTTGGAAAGGCAAAGCATACGTTGTCAAGCTGTCCAGATGTTGGTGTTGAAACACACTTCATTGGCTCGATGTGAACCAGCAAGTTCCTGTCGAGCTGAAGCTTTCTCATGTGGCTAAGTTTGCCCAGGTAAAAGAGTAGGAACAGGCAAGTATTTGCTTCTTTTCGCATGGTCCCAAGCTCGAAGGGTTATCCGAAAATTTGTAAGCTCACCAATGCTTGGTTCCACACCTTGGTCCCATGTTGATCGTTGGTCCCATGTTGGTCCAACTTGGTCCCATGTTGATCTCATGTTGTTTTTATGTTGGCCCCACATTGACCAAGTCCCCGAAAGATGATGTTTATGCGTGTCCTTTGATGGAGGCCTCACAAAATCCAAGGACGAACTCTACCATGTCCATTGCGGGAACAGCATATTCTGACCATGGCCCATATGTTCAGAGTTCTGCGTTGGTTGCAAGGCACTTTAGACGCGGCTTGGGTTTGCTGCCAACAAATCAAAGGTGGGATTGCAACATATCCCAAGCTGAGACATGTGTCGAAAGCAGAACATGGCAATTTGAAGCGATGATGTTCAGCTGCTGGATGAGATCCATTTACAACCGCTGTTTAGCAAGCTGTTTCTTGGCAGCCTGGTCATCCAAGCCTTATGGCCTGACTACCATCCAGCGCATGTTTCTCGGCGATTATTTTTCAGGGGTGGAAATTGATCTCACTCATCCCAGGGAGGGCCACTTCACAAGTTATAAGGAGCTCACGGGGTGTAACCAGCGAGGAGTAACCAGCGTCTAACCACGGGGTGTAACCAGCGGTAGGTGTTTCTAAAAATGGTCCCCTAACGTTGTTTTCATGTTGGCTTTCCTTTGGCTACCAGAGAGTGTCCCTGTTCCGTTTTGAAGTAGCGCAACCCAGGTGAAGCCACGCGCAATGCAGAGATGGATCTCAAGGCGGGAATTTGATAGCCAGCCACGAGGGTGATACAAAGCTGGGGCCAACAAAAGGATTTGCGTTTGGTAGCGTACTTTTCTCGCCTTGGCTTCAAGGCAAATCACCAAAACCACTTGTTGATTTGTGAGGACTTGTCCAGGTGGAAAGAAGCTGAACTTTCTGGGTGCGCTGAATCAGATGCAACAGAAGGACTAGCATCCCACACGAGGAACAAAGCACGAAACACCCCCCGTCCCCCCGTCCCCCCGCTCCCGCCCTCCCAGCTTCTTTGGGCCGTGCAACTCCCAAGCATTCTGGATAAATTGAATTTTAACCCTCCGTTTCGACCAACCCTGATATTCGGACTCCCGTCATTAGTTGATGGCTTAAAATCCTCGCAAACGGCTTTGAAACGTCTTTTTGTTTAAGGTGGCAGGCATCCAATTCGCGAGGGCACAAACTTGATTGGTTTGAAGTCAGGGTTCACGTTTGTTTTTGATTCTTTTGTTCAAGGATTGCGCACAGCTTGTGCACCTCAGGGCTTCGAATCACCCTCCCAAACCATCAGTCCAAACCACCAATTGGGGCTAATGTGGGTTGTTTCAACCCATTTTGAAAACTTGTTTGCGCCCAGTGTTAATTGGTGAGTGCGTGTGTCTGTGTGCGTGTGTCTGTGTGTGTGTATGTGTGTGTGTATGTGTGTGTGTGTGTGGGTGTCCGTGTGTCTGTGTGTTTGTGTGTGTGTCTGTTTGTGTGTGTCTGTCTGTGTGTGTCTGTCGGTGTGTGCCTGTCAGTGTGTGTGTGTGTGTGTCTGTGTGTGTGTGTGTGTCTGTGTGTGTGTGTGTCTGTGTGCGTGTGTGTCTGTGTGTGTGTGTGTCTGTGTGTGTGTGTGTCTGTCTGTGTGTGTGTGTCTGTCTGTGTGTGTCTGTCTGTGTGTGTGTTTGTTTGTGTCTGTCTGTGTGGGTGTCTGTGTGTCTGTGTGTTTGTGTGGGTCTGTGTGTGTGTGTGTCTGTGTGTGTGTGTGTCTGTGTGTGTGTGTGTGTGTGTCTGTGTGTGTGTGTCTTTGTGTCTGTGTGTGTGTGTCTGTGTGTGTGTGTGTGTGTCTGTGTGTGTGTGTCTGTGTGTGTGTGTGCCTGTGTGTGTGTGTGTCTGTGTGTGTGTGTGTCTGTGTGTGTGTGTGTGTGTGTGTGTGTGTGTGTGTGTGTGTGTGTCTGTGTGTGTGTGTGTGTCTGTGTGTGTGTGTGTGTGTGTGTGTGTGTGTGTGTGTGTGTGTGTGTGTGTGTGTGTGTGTGTGTGTGTGTGTGTGTGTGTGTGTGTGTGTGTGTGTGTGTGTGTGTGTGTGTGTGTGTGTGTGTGTGTGTGTGTGTGTGTGTGTGTGTGTGTGTGTGTGTGTGTGTGTGTGTGTGTGTGTGTGTGTGTGTGTGTGTGTGTTTGTGTGTGCTTGTGTGTGAAAGTGTGTGTGTGTGGGTTTGTGTGTGCTTGTGTGTGAAAGTGTGTGTGTGTGTCTGTCTGTGTGTGTGTCTGTGTGTCTGTGTGCGTGTGTGTCTGTGTGTGTGTGTCTGTGTGTGTGTGTGTGTCTGTCTGTGTGTGTCTGTCTGTTTGTTTGTTTGTTTGTTTGTTTGTTTGTTTGTTTGCTTGATTTTCTTTTCGAGGTCGGTTTAAAGGGCAAATATAAACGTACCCATTTCTTCAACCGGTCTGGCGCCTTTGTGGCCAACATCTCCAAAACAATCACTTGGTACGGCAATCCAAGCCACTTCCTACCACCAACTAGCCAAACAAGCACTTGTTTTTAACCAACTGGGTAAATCCAAGCCATCACCTCACACCACCGCTCTCCAGGCGCTGGAAGAGTCCTCGGAGCGGGTCATCGAAGACTGCCGCAAGCTGCAGGCCCTTTTCGGGTGGCTCATTCCTGATGGCCAGGGCCAAAAAGCCAAGCAGAAGGAACGCAGGGAGCCAGCTATCAGCCAGAAATCCCTAGCCGCTAGTCGTGCGATTGATTCTTTTTTTTTGGGGGGGCCTTGATAATCATTAGTCCGACACATACCCCATGTTGTGGATGGACAAAAGCCACAATACGCACTAGTTGGGATTTGAAACCCAACTGGAATACCAAGACACACCACATAAACCACCAACTGGTGCAAAGTGGGTTGTTGTCCATCTGCAGTGTCTCCAGGAAGCGAACTGAGCACTAGCATGGCTTCTCTATAATCCCCCCACAGCCCCAAGTGCAGGTGTAAGCAAATGATTACTAACTGAGAGTCAATTCGTCCAATTATTCCTTTGGAGGAAGCCAAAGGAGGCTGAATAATCCCTATAAGTTGTTCAAGATCCCCCCATTTAGCACTTCTTCCCAGATTCATGTTGGCTTCCAAAGACCTCATGTTGAGAGCAAACTTCTTTTCTGGGACCCCAACAGTTGGGTTCCATGTTAACTTGTAGGGGAGTTACATGAATTTCTTATCCCCACAACCCCATGTCAAATGCAAGTCCCCCGGCAGCCAACATAAAAGGGGCCTATGATGTTGTGAGGAAGAGAGGACCCCACAGTTCCTTTTTGGTGATCAAAGCCCATCTAGTATCACCAGGCTAAAATCAACGGGGCATTATACAAGCTTAAGCTTGCTAAAAATCAAAGGATTGCCAGAGAGTTGAACAACTTACTGGAAAAGGGGCAACAATGAATGGAGCAGTTGAAAGTTGTGCAACCCATCTAAGGGCTCCTCACTTGTGGGCGAAAGACCATTTGTGATATCGGCACGTTGATGCATGACATTTAATACTCACGTAGGCAATGCAAATAGGAAGAAAGCAGCGGCTGTCGCACCTTGCAAATTACCATGATGCCTTTGTCCATTGTTCAATTGCCGGAATTCGCACGAATAGGACGACTTGGGCTTTGCGGTTTGTTTCGGTTGACAAGCTTTGCACATGATCTGAGAACTATTCATTTGCTTCCCAGGTTGATTCCCTTTGAATCCAGGCCAGGAAAGCCCAGCTTCTGAGCAGCCAGGAACGTGGTTGTGGCCAGGGTTTTAAGGCCACTTTCTATTCCCCTGCGAAATTCCCTTAAAATGAGAACGTGGTTGGGCAAATTATAACGAGCTCACCCGGGGGTTAGAAGATGTCGTCCCTGATGACCTTGACTACGGATTCTTTTCTGCAGTTTAGCAGAAATTTGCCCAGAAGTATGATACGGCAGTCAGGGGCAACCCACTTGATGATATCGCAGAAAGGGCAACCATGTTGACACTACCATGCTCCGTTCGGGCTTGTGTCCTTATGTCCGTGGGCCTTAACGGCTTATCCTGGGCTTATTTGCGGTTTATCCTGACGGATGGACTGTATATCCCTAGACTCCTCCTATGGCCTTCAGGTTTATGCTTGGCTTCAAGGCAGAAATCGCCAAAACATACTCTATACATATATAGTATAAACAAACTGTCCCTGGCCCCTCAAACTGGACGCCAAAGCAGGTTGTTGAAACAGTTGTTCCTTCTTGCCGTCTCATGTACAGCATTTTACAAAGGGGCTGGTTTCCAAAAGCGTTGGTTTGTTTATCTGTGGTTTTGTCGCCACATCTTTCAACAAGCTGTGGGCCGAGAACCGCAGGCGAGGGTCAAGGAGCTTGAGCACCACGAGACCAACAGCCGGGGCTCAAACCGTCGCGAGGGAGGAAGCCTTCCACGGGGGCTCCCAAGACCTATCTGGACTGTTAGAAGTTACATATCAAAGTCAGAAAATTGGTTGCTGTTTCCCTTGAACCCACTTCGGTGACATTGGTCGTGGTGGAACAATGCAGGCGCAGACGTCTTGAACTTGGCTAAGACCTATCGATATGTTCTAGCTGGTTCTTGGTAGCCCAGTAAGGCAGTGGGAACTGAGAAACGAATTCCAAGAGTAAACCATGGTACGGTTCACGGGTTCCTCGTGATGGTGGATTTTGTCCAATGCCAGGCACCAGGACTCCCGTTGGGCTTCAGCTATCCCAACTCCTATGGGAAGTGTTTTTTCCCCAGATAGCTGAAAGCTATAGGGGTTCTAACTTCTAATAAAGAGGGGGAAGTGATTTGCGAGATTGATGGGCTGGTGCTAAGGGGCGTGCAGTTTGGGGTGCTGGTTTTCGCGCATTGGGGTGCTGTTTGAGGTGCTGATGGCAGTGCGGGCGCATCTTTTCAAGATTGACGGTAGGGTGCTAGGGGGCATGCAGTTTGGGGGTGCTGGTGCAGGTGCTGTTTTGGGGGGTGACGGTGCACGCGTGCTTTTGCATTTTGACGGTAGGGTGCACGGGGGCATGCAGTTTGGGGTGCTGGTGCTGGTGGTGTTTTGGGATGCTCTTTGGGGAGCTGTTTGAGGTGCTGGTGACGGTGCGGGCGCAATTTGCGATATTGACGCCCGGGTGCTATCGGGCATGCAGGTGACGGTGCAGGCACATTTTGGCATCTTGACGTTGACGGCAGGGTGCAAGGGGGCATGCAGCTTGGGGTGCTGGTGCAGGTGGCGTTTTGGGATGCTGTTTGGGGTGCGGCTGGGTGTTTGGGGCGGGGGTGCTTAGGGTGTCGGTGCAGGCGCATTTTTGCGAGATTGATGGCAGGGTGCAGGGCATGCAGTTTGGGGTGTTGCTGCAGGTGCTGTTTTGGGATGCTGTTTGGGGTGCTGTTGGAGGTGCTAGTGATGGCGCGGGTGCTCGATTGACGGCCGGGTGCTGTTTGGGACGCTCTTCGGGGGTGCTTTTGGAGGTGCTGGTGTGCAATCATATGCAATCATTGCTATCTGGGGTCTATGCTGGTGTAATTTTCCACAGTATGGCTATGAATTTGCATGGGTGGCATGCAGGTCAACCAAAACAGCACACCCATAGGTCTGTGTCTGAAGGAGTGTCCTATTAAAGAAAACATCCTTATGCCCCATGTAAACAACCAAGGGCAAACTCACAAGACAAGAGAGCTTTGTTCCAGGTGATAGGCTGATTCTTTTCTTTCGCAGATTCACGCAGAATCCCACCCATCCATTGTTGAACGAATCTCCTGCAGCAAAGACCCCTTGTTTGGGGTCCATGTGCAAGGGGGTTGAGGCTTTGCCAGGGAAAGAGAGCAAACCAAGCACTGCCGCTTTCTGATTGCAGCCACCTTGAGAAAAGTTGAGAAACAGCAACGCAAGACCCCGAAAAAAGCGAGTCGCGAGCTGAGGCCATCACCACCTGGGCCGTGCCAATGACTTGGAAGAGCGCCTCCAGGATTTGCTCCGAAGGGTTTCTTTTTCCAGGGCGATCCCCCGACAAATGGTGGTTTTCCTCTGGTTTGCCTTCGAAACCAACCAAAAACGGGTCGCCAAAAAAAAACCATACCCGAATGACGTGTTGGATTTGAGTTGGAACCGGAACCATGTAGTTTCCCCAAGCAAATCCGCACGTTTCCCCAAATTCACTTTGATCCCCTGGGAAGATGAAAAAATACATATGATTTCCCACAGCAGTAGCCATGGCCCAAGGTTTCCCATTTTGGTTGCGAATTCTGCAGGAGCATCAGCGGCATTTAGAGAGCTCCCGCGCGCGGGAGGCGGAAACCGGGGACGGATGCAGGGCCCAAGAGCAGCCAAAGCCCCCCCCCCCCCCCCCGGGTTTGAAAGGAACCTGACTTGATGACTATTGGGCCTGTTGGGTTGGATCTTTCGACTTTAACTTCTGGGGAATCAAGTGTTTTCCATTGAGCCCACAAAAGTGAAGCTTTTTTCAACAGCAGCCAAGCTAAGGGCTTGTGGTTCTAAGAGCTGTGGGTAGGGGGCGATTTTCCGATTCGCCCAAGAGGGACTTGCGGACAAAATCCACACCACCCGTTGGCCGAAATGTTACGCTGGAAGAAGCCACCAATCCCAACTGGTGCGTGGCGTTTCGATTCGGTCCACGCCAAAAAGGCTCCCCCAACAAGCCAACAACATTGGAGCCACGATCAAAACCCGGGTAGATGAAGGTTGGTAAGGGACAATCCCAGCCAGAAACAGCTGCGACCGCCTTTGTATTTCCTTACATGGTTCTAGGTCGACCATTTCAAATACCGGGTGTTGATTGTGTCAAATTACGTGCGCGACGGCCCGCAGTCACAAGAGGTAAACAGCTGGTTTACAGTTGGTTGAAAGTACCTATTTACTTACCCGCCTAAAGGGAATCATGGCCTTTTCATTCACCGTGGTGTCACTTTCGCACAACACATGTTTGATCGAAAGTATCGACCTGAGGCTCGTACTGCTCGGGCTAAGGATTTAGTTCAAGCAGCATTCGAAGTGGCTTTTCCAAGAGAACGTAGGCCAACTGAATTCAACAGGGCCACCCTGGTTCAGTTCCCAAAGCAAGGCTTGTAGTGGCTTAAGCTGCGCGGCCGCGGGTAGATTTCTCATGCCAGCATGGACAATTGCATGACTGAGCAAAGACGTTCGTGGAATGGCTCCCTGATCAAGTAAAAAGCATCGGGGATGGCATTGTCACGAAGCAGGATGTTCAATTCCACGCTCATTCGGGTGGTGAGTTAGTTCTATTTGGGTCCAGGTCCAAAGACCTACGCTACTAGAGCTATAGGGGAGTAAATCTTGGAAATGGGGTTGTGGCATACGAGTTGAACACTATATCACATGATCACAAGAGAGCCATGCGCGTATTTATTCAGCCCCTTTACTTTCAGTCGCATTGCCACTGGCAAGGCGCACTTCGAATCATGGGGGAGTCGACTCGAATCGCTGAATCGCAGGCGGCACTCAAGGAGGAGATGCTTGGGACAGAGGCGAGGAGCTCTCGAAAGACCCTCAGCCATCAAAACCCGAAAGGATAGAGGGGAAGGGGCAGCAGTTGTGTCTGTCCTTTTTTAGGGACCACCCCCAGACTGGCTTCGTTTGTCCAAACGACATGTTCTTCCACCAGCAAACATGGACGGGAACCCATGTTCAAAGGAAAGTAGTCTTGTAAAAGGTTGCTTTTTGAACATATTTTTCGTGAAAGGGAGGTGCGGATATCCATCCTTTTGATTATTTTGGTGTTAACGACTACTGAGTGTTGACGACTGTGAGCACCGCCAGAAACCCCTACCCATCTTGGTAGGTGGTTATATCTGGCTTCATTGGGTAGTAAGCCTGTGTAAACATTTCGAAGCCTTCGTGGGCGCTGCTCAAGTGGGGTCTTCCCCATGCTATATCTTTTGTAATTAGTTGATCTTAAGGGATTTTTCTTTCCAGAAAACCACCGCGGAAACACCGAACAATGCGGTTGGATGAATACCCCCTCGTCTCTCTTTCGAAGGGGTTCCCAAGGGGTTGCTCATTCGTCGACGGGGGCTACCAGAATTACCCGGCGGCGATGGAGAAAGCCAACTTTACCACAGCGTTTGACAGGGCAAAGGTGTCGATGACCCATGCCAATAGCTGGTCTCTCGTACGACGAGGTATTATTGATTGCTCTGAGAAGATCGGTGACTTATTGTAGGCACTTGAAAAATGTTTTTGTACGCAATGCTCAAACGGATGTTGTTTTTGCATGAGAATTCACTGTTTGACGCAGCTAGGCTTGCGGGCACAGCCCTCAGACAGCAACAGAGCGAGAGAGAGAGAGAGAGACAGAGCGAGAACTATTGTAGGATTTGCTGACGGATGGCATGCGCTTCTCACAACATTCCCTTCTTGCTTTTGACTTTATCCTGTTCCAAGTATCGCGAAGTCAGTCTCAAGCGTCATTTGGCGATTGCTGAAATGGCAAATGATGTGACAAACCTTCCATGCCGCTTGAAGATTCCTTGTAGGTTTTGAGTTTCCAGTCTTTTGGGTCTTTGGGTTCCAAGGTTTGAGCCATTTTCCATAAAACAAAATCATGGCTCAACTGGGTCTTTGGCTTCCATGTGCGTTCAGGAGGCTGTGCGCCGGCATCACATGAGCCGGAAAGCCGGGGACTCAAATCTGTTGGATGTCTCTAGGATAGCTTGGGTATCTTTTGAATATTTCTTTGACATATTTTGTTGGTTGCTGGGTGTCCTTTAAAGGTGCCCCTTTCTCGCGTATCTCTTGGATAATATGGGAGTGTCCTTTTAGGTTGGACCCTCTAAGATGGCTTCGGTGTTCCTTTTGGTTTCCCTTTAAATCATCACAAACAGGGGCACCCCCAAAAAAGGACGATATCTGTCTACATTTGGTTGGTATTGGAAGTCTTGATGGTGGGGGCCTTTCCTGCGTATCTCGTGGATATGGGTGTGGGTTTTTAAGAGGATCCCGAAATGGCAGCTGTCCTGGTGGTTCCCTTTGAGCCAACCAAAAAGGTTCCACAAAAAGGAGGAGCCACTCATATATCTTGGCTATGTGTGTCTGTTTCCTTCTTTCCGGTGCCTTAGAGCCAAAAGAAAGCCACCAGAAGCAGTGGTAGACATACCCCGTTGGAATCCCCCAAAGCGGGGCGGCTAGACTCCTTTTGGTAAGCCTTCGTTTTGGCTTGGTGAATTTGCTGGGAGTGCAATACCAACAATTCCCATTTGGTTTGCCATTGAGTGGACTCCAAATCAAGAATGAGGTGAGCAGCTTCATCCGAAACGTGAAGCTCGTTGCAGAAACGACCTCACCCATGAAGGATGCCTTATTCTAGGTTGGTGTAACACAAGTCAGATGAAGGCACGTTTGTACTGGATATACTGAGCAGAGAACCCTCGTATCTCTTTGGCTTCCAATCAAAGCAACCCCAAACGGATTCCGTCAGCAAAATGACACACCCATCCATGTAACAATTGTGCTGATCCTTGGGACAGGCTGAAATTCCGATTTTGGCTGGCAATTGCCACCCGATTAGGCTTCTGTTTTTGTGGTTGAGTGACACAGGCGCTCACAAGTACCGCGATACATATGACTCATATGACAATGTTGCAGGTGTTTCTTAGCTTTGCCCTGTCAGACGCAATGAACAGATACATCACACGCAGCTCTTCGGATCCGAATCGCAGGGTCGGTTTGGACAACTATGAGGACCCTCCGTTGAATCACCCGTTGGATGTGTTGCTCAGCGTGGAAGGCCCTTTCCTTTTGGCTGCGTGGGCTTTTAGGTCACCTTTAGGGCGGAGGAGTGAGAAGTTTTGGGACTGCCGAGATAGACAGTTTCTTCCTTATGCAGCTACCTTGCAGCTCGGGCTGGAAATCCCGAAAGTCGGATAGAGGAGCCCTGGAGCTGACCCAATTCTGTTCAGAAACTCGATGCCCTATTTTGATACACACCGAATCATGTTGCATTCTGCAGCTTGGACTTTGACACATGGGTTTTGAGCGGAAGACAATTTTGCTCAGCTTTGTGACAAACCGATTGGACGGCACTCATCTCATACCCTTCGAGGCGTTGGAGCTGGAGTCCGAGGAAATGCGTATCAGCTTGCTGCAGGGGATCTCAAGCCGTTTGGGTGGACAAGTTGACAGATCTAAGTAGAAGCTGTTCTATTTTTTCGGGGGTGTTCCGTCCCACAGTGGTCTGAATCCCCACATGTGGGGACACCCCCCCGTCAAACTCAAGCAGGGGTGTTTTGATCTGGGGTCAACATTGTGTTGGGTTTGAAGCAGTATATTCTCTGATGGGTTTGAAGCCGTGCAAAATGGGCAATTTCCGAAGGGGTTGCGCTTGCCCGAGCAGTCTCAAACGGGTTTGACCTCTAAACTAGTTGACCCATGATGAAGGTGCTTTACTTTAGCGATTTGTTCTGGTTTGTGAATTGGATTAGTTTGCCCCGAGTAATATTGTCCCGCATGTTAAATCTCCTCCCCAATGATATTGCTTGAAATGGTCTGGAAGTTGCATGGACCTCATCCAAGCGTCCTTTGCCCGAAACAACTCACAGCATCACAATGCTCATGATGCATTCACGCGCATTTCTTCCAGGATTCAGTTGCCTTGTTGTTTGCAATTCAACCCTGCAAAACTGGGAGGCAAGTTGGAGCTTAAGGTCCTGAAAGCCAATTTGGCATCGCAATCGTAAACTCGACCTGGGTTTGCATG